GTTGGGGAGAAGAAAAGATGAAGCCGAGAAAGGCAACAGCTGAAAAGAAAAAGGATGAAGAGAAGGATGAAAAGAAGAAGAAGAAGGCTGATAAGGCCAAAGACAGCAAGGACAAAGACATCAAGAAGAAGAGGAAGCGTGATTCCAGCTTCGATCAAGAGGAAGCTGTGAAGAAGATGAAGGACCAAGACGAAGAGGATTTACTCTAGTCATCCTCGGTTTAAAGGACCAAGTTAAGTGAGGGCGGAAAGCCGCCCAGGGCAAGCCAAACACCGTAAAGGCAGGTGTATAAACAACGCCGATGCAAGTTTCACAATCCATGCAAGAAGGGGCAGTAAGCCTATCCTTGTATGTGAGAAAGGGGAAGCTATGCTGTAAGTGGATTCCAAGAAAGGAGCGGAATTTCACGGAAAGGCGTCCAGCGCCATCGACAGCAAAAGCTAAAGTCCCACGACAAAGCACAACGATCGTGTTTAAAGAAAAGGCTGGAAGAGCCAGTGAGGCTTACAAAGCCAAAGTTCTTTTGCAAAGACTCTGAAAAGAGCTATGCCGAACAAACTACCTCGTGTACCGCGAGATGGAAAAGAGTGAGAGCGCCTGAGTTTGTAGTTGGCAAGTGCGACTGTTGTAAAACAATGGTCAGTTTAACAGTTTTGCGTTTACAGGACTAGAGGCCAACGACATCCACAACAAGCACACAAGGAAGAAGAAGGAAGAAGTCAAAGACGGTTAAAATTGCTCAAAAGATGAAGCGTGCGAGAAGTGAAGACAGCTCACAGGAGCGTGCGAAAACCGTGGTGGATGTAGGAAAAGTTTCACAATGATCGCATTACACGACAAAGCTGTGTATGCGATGAGGGCGTAACAGATAGTTCAATTTTCCCCTATGTACAGAAACATACAGGAATCCAGTGTTTCACCGCAGGTCAAACCAAGGCTCAAGCACGGCCCAACAGTGGAGCTTAGACTGGAAAAGAATCTGAAGCTCGTGCCGTGATTATAAGAAGTATACTGGTATAAGGGTTTAAACTTTCAAGATGCCAGAGCAACCTTGCTATTGGGGGAAGGGGGTGGTGCACACTCCGACTGCTCATGAGGCTCGTCTGCGGCCAAGTTTCCGGAGCTAGAAAGCGGTCGCGGTCACACATGCAGTGTGGACACAAATTCCCTCAACTGCGTGTCGTCGTTGACCCAAGGCCCGTGTGCTCCGACGGGTTCGAGAGGCCTTCCACCTTTTCTGCACGTTGGCACTCCTGGTTCGATTCGCCCCTGGCATTCCCGGAGGCTCGCATGCATTCTGCGCTGCAGCATGCACGCGGCGGCGCTCTCCGTGGAGGCCAGGGCGGTTGATCGACGCGAACCTTCTAGACTCTAGAGACTCGGAATTGTGAGAGAGGTGGAGAGAGAGCAACAGAGAGAGAGAGAGAGAGAGACAGAGAGACAGAGAGAGAGAAAGAGAGAGAGAGAGAGAGAGAGAGAGACAGAGAGAGAGACAGAGAGAGAGAAAGAGAGAGAGAGAGACTAGTGGTCACTTTCGGATGCTTCGGGCTTCGTGGATGCACGCCTCGCGGGGAGTTGTCGGCCTGCTGCAACGGGATGGCGCTTAGATTCGGAAGGTTCGACGTTTCTGGAAGATCTTCTGTTGGTCTTGAAATTGCTGCGAGTCTTCGACCCCGGAAATGAGACCTCTTACAATCAAGGACGTGTGACGGGTAATATACGTTCATGCTCTTCTTTCCTCTGTGTGCTGCGTTGAATGGGAACAGCAAAAAGCTGTTGCACTGTGGGGGGAAGAAGCAACTCAATGACAAGTCAGCCGCTTTCTAGACCTTTAATCTGTGCCCATCAAAAACGCTTTTTTAAAGCGCCTGTTAGGAGGACGCTAGAAGGATGCTGGGAGAGATGTAGAAATTTCTACGAGGACGTCACTGTCCCAGTCACGAAATCCCACGCCTGGACGCTACGAGGACATTACGAGGACAAGGACATGTACAAATTACTACGAGGACGCCACTTTTTCAATACAAAATGCACATGTTCTTGGTTTTATATATTGAAAAAGTGGCGTCCTCGTAGTAATTTGTACATGTCCTCGTAATGTCCTCGTAGCGTCCTCGTAGCAGGCGTGGGATTTCGTGACTGGGACAGTGACGTCCTCGTCGAAATTTCTAGATTTCTCCCAGCGTCCTTCAAACGTCCTCCTAGCAGGCATGGATTTGGTGACTAAACTCATATCAGGGCTCCTATTATAGTTCACTGTGAAGATCGCTGGCGCTGCGAGTTTTGCACATCGGAAAGAGTTTTTGATTCGACATGGGTTGCCAACACAAATCGCATGCCCTACAACCTGATTTTTTCCATCTGTTGCAATTGTGCCTCACTCCAGCATCTACGACTTAGAACAAGCTTTGAAGCAACTTACTTGCAGTCCAGTTTTGTTGCTCAGTTGGTGACCGCTCGAGGTTCTCTTGCGGGTTTGTCCTAACCTACGCTTCCCGGAGGCTCCAAATCCCTTTAATTGAGGGTAGGGACCAAACCAAAACCCCTGTACTCTCCTTCAGGTCCTAAATGGGGTCCATTAATTTCATTTAACGCCCTTAACCCCCGTAAAGCAACGTTGGTGCAAAGCGCAGAGCAACCTTGCTATTGGGGGAAGGGGGTGGTGCACACTCCGACTGCTCATGAGGCTCGTCTGCGGCCAAGTTTCCGGAGCTAGAAAGCGGTCACACATGCAGTGTGGACACAAATTCCCTCAACTGTACCTTGAAGTTGGTGCAGCTGTTGTTGGCAAGCAGCCTTCAGGGCTCCAGCTGGGAGCAGTCCACCGACGGCGGCGTGTACTTCCTCTACCTGGTGAACCTCTTCAACGAGAGCCCGGGATGGCGGCGATTATGTTCATCATCGCGGTTTTCTTGGTTGTGGCTCTCTGCCGCTACTTGGCAGGTGTGCAGTGGCACATTGAGATCCATGTGGGCCGGGGGCGCAGAGAAGGGCTTGGGCCTGGCTGTGGAGATGAGCGCAGCGACCCCGAGCACACCAAGGGGAAACGGGACACCAAGAACCACGAGCACACCAAGGACCGGCGGGACACCGTGGACCACGAGCACAAGCCGAACCACGGTGGCAAGCCAGTGTTCCATCTTCAAGGCTGGATCGGGCGGAGCGGAAAACCACCACGGTTTGTCTCTGCCGCTGGTTCGGCAGATGGCGCCCAGAGGACTGCGAGGGCCGGCAAGAGCCGTTGAGTATGCCCCGAACTACAGGTACAGCTAACAGCTGGCTACGTGCTCCTCTTTCCGGCAGGTCTCTTTCCTTGTGAGCAGTGCTGTGGGGGCGATCACATCCTTTTGAGTGATCTCAACCCGATGATTTTCGACCAAAAGCCAAAACGCAAGCGCAGCAGAGTGGGTGCTGAAGTGCATCCAGTTTGTGGATCGGAGGAATCCCAAACTGAGGGGGCATGTTAGACTAGATCGGCCCCACATGTGGTACAGTTCCTGTTGCATTGTTTGTGTCAGCAGGCATGAGTTCTGAGGGCACGGGCAAAGCATGGCCCCTGCAAGGATGACACGCGCAAGATTGTGCAACGACTGCAGCCCTTTGCGAGCATAATTTTTTTTTTTGTTGGTTGGGTCTGGAGGCGGAATCTGCCCCTAGCCGTTTCTGCCCCCAGGCACTGTGGACCAGCCCCCGAGTGCATAAAAGAGTGCTGTGCGATCCTTTCCTTCCTGCATTATGAGTTGATTCATGTTGGTATGTAGTATATCACTTATATGACATATTATATTCCTTCATCTCATCCCATATCGAGCTCAACTTTGAATAAATGAATAAATCGGTATAAAGGATATATGCATAGATTTGATTTGAATATCGTGTTTATTTCAATCTCACCCTTTGTGCAGTTTGCATTTCCTTTTCCACGACAAAACGCAAAGGATAGTTTTCCGTGAGCAACCTAGTTCAGAAAGCAGTGCCCAGGTGAAGCCCCAAGATGTTCGTGGTATCTTGGATTGGACGAAAAGAATTTTGATTGCACATCTTTGGTGTACACCGGCAATGGTTGCATCCAACGTAAGACAGGGCCAGCGTCACACCACAAACAAGATTTTGTTGCATGGAACACGGCCAACGTCACATCGCAAACAAGATTGTTGTGAGTTCCACAGGAGAGCCCCGGCATATGTGCGAAAGTTCAACCTTATGCGACTCAGCATCACATGGGGTTTTTGGGGCTTTTGTTGAGTGCATTTTGCGCATGGGGGCCATCCGAAGATTTGTGAGTGTGTAAACTTTGCGTGACACCAACAAAGCCCTAGTTACTGTTAGCATGATGTGTTTGGTTCGGTGCGTGCCGCTCGCCGTGTTGGGGCTGCAAGGGCGTTGACATCTGCCGCCGTGTCCCCTGACCACAGAATTAAGACCTGTTCAAGCTTTTGTTCGGGATTTGAGCGTGTAAGCATGGTCGTATAGTTACTTCATGCTTTATTCATGTCATGAAGGCCGTGTATCCGGTTGATTCGGACAAGCACCATGCATCTTGCCCAAGCAGCTAAACCCCCGGCATCCACCATTGCCGCGGGCATGTCTCTGCAGGTCCCAGTGCCGTTGCCCTAGAGCTCATGCACCGCAAAGGGTGCCAGTCCGCCTTGGGATGAACACGCACAAGTAGGAATGTCATGTGCAGGCTGACAAGTGCTGTTGCCCCCAAGGGGCCAGCAAGGACATGCGATGTTGCGGGTTCGATATGTGCGGTCGACATATTGCTTTTGAGGACGCTGCCGGGGCCAGCGGGCAGGCCCGTGGTCACTGCAGCGAGCAGTGCGAGCGGGAGGTCTTTTGCGGCAAGCGTGCCTGAGCCTGAGCCAGGGGCCGTTTAGTTGCAAGGTGTGTCTGAACGGGTCTCTGAGGAGTCCAAGCCTTGGCTGCCTCGTGACCGGCCTGAGCCTGCTAGGAAGGCGCACGCCGCACACCGAGAAGTTTGGGAGGTTTTTGGGAAGATGGAGCGCTTTCTTTGTGGTTTCTTGCTTGGAGGAAGCGGCAGGCCAGGCCCTCAGGCCGACCCGGGCTACTGTACTACTGCGTGCTTCAGTTTTGCCTGGAGGCCAGGGCTGGGGCCCCACTTTGGCCGGCGAGGCGGCGCTTTGGGGCGACGGCTCGTGCTGCGAGCGATTTCGAGTCGGGGGCTGAAAGGGATTCGCTGACAGCGGTAGCACAGCACTCAGAGTCACAAGGTACAAGATAAACCTCGAGGGCCTGGTCGCCCTTTGCAAGCGCCGCGGTTTCGTCTTCCCCTCCGGCGAGGCGCGGCGAAGGCAGCGCGATCCAGACATATCTTTAGGCCGTGGCTTCCTTTCAGATCTACGGGGGATACAACGGCTTCTTCGATTACGGCCCACTGGGTGCCGAGCTGAAGAACAACTTGAAGAAGCTTTGGTGGCGCAGGAGACCCTAGCAGCTCGAGCATGAGACAAGGGGGTAGTGGGGCAGGGCCACAAAACCTGAGATTTTGTGAGGATGGTGCACGCCCGTGACGACGTCGTTGGCCTAGACAGCTCCATCGTGACCACGCCTTTAGTGCACCAGGCCTCAGGCCACGCTTGCGCCTGAGCTCAACGGGACTCTGCGACCTGTGTTGCGATGCGCCGCATGTTGTTCTGGCAGAGGTGGAGAACTTCTCGGACCCCATGGTCGATTGCAGGGAAAGCAAGCAGAGGCAGGAAGAGAGTCGGAAGGAGGGACGCGTGCGTTCTTAAGCGCCGCGTTGGAGGTTCCGAGCTGACCAGCTGATGTGGGCCAAAGTGGAGCTGGAGGCGAGAGATGCGAGAGCGGAGAGAGCGGCTCAAGGCATGGGAGGCCTTGGGAATTCGGAACTCCGAGGCCGAAGACGGCGATTCCGAGTGCCTGGGCTACGTCTCCATGGCCCAAACCCAAGCCGGGCAGTCTCGCTTCGGCTTCGTCACTTCGTCGGGGCCGGGGGGCCCCTTTTCGCGGAAACCGAGGTCGAGGACGGGAACGTGGCGAAGTCCCTCAAGAAGGCGGCCAAGAAGCTCCGGAAGGAGGCGACTTTGCTGGGACCAGGTCTTTGAGCTGAAAGCACGGCGATGGGCGGCACGCTTTGCTGTGCTCTTGGCTCCAAAGCTCTAGGGTAGCTCTAGGGAGATTCAAAGACTCGGCTGCGTGGGGCGGTGATGCGGTGATGGGCGCAGGGCGCCCGAAGCAGTGCTCGGCAGCAACAGACCGGACCGCCCGGACCGCCCGGACCTGCCCAGCTGCCGCCAAGGCCATTGGCTGCCGCTGCAACGACGGCAGGGGCCCCCGTTGCAGTGCACGCGACGGTTGAGGGTCGTTGAGGGCTGCTAGGCCTTGCACGGAAGTTGCAGGTGACAACATCACATTGAGATATTCTGCATGGTTGAATCTTCTATGGCACAGATTGAGTTCTGGTTGCTTCGTTCCTGGGTTTGGAGGCTGTCGTTGGCCCGCACGCCGAGTGCAGTTCGATCAAAGGAAAAAGCGAAAGTCCTTCTTTGTTTTTTTTTAAATGTATTTTGTGTGTTGTCTGTGGCCATGCCAAGGTGCTGATGCCACGACCGAGGCAACCGCAGAGGATGATGTAGCCGCGGGCCGAAGGACTAAAGCTCCTGCTGTACCGCCCAGCTGAGCACCGTTTTCCGACGAGCTGCACCGAATTTAGGTTCCGATGAGTGCAATTGGTGAGCCAAAGGTGGTTCAGAAGGCTCGACACCTAGACAAGGGAGAGCTCACAGCGCGCTTTCAGCCAGGACCAGCAGAAGTTGGAGGATGCTCGGAAAAAGTTGGGCTCCTGCGCCAAAGCCTTGCGAGTCGGCGTCTCACACCGTGGCCGCAAAGTACACCCCAAAATGCCCCCGCCCCCTCCCCCCCTCAGGCGCGGATGGCCAAGGAGCAGGTGGAAGTTTGGAAAAAGGCGCGGCGCTCCCTGGGACGGCCGCCGGACGGTTTGCGGCCCCAACCGGAGCGGAGCTTTCTGCGAGGCGGAAGCTGAGTTCAGCGTGCAGAAGATGATCTGGCAGAGCCTCAGCCGGCGCCCCAGCGCACCGCCTAGCGCCCCAGCGCCCGCCCTAGCGCGCCTGCAGCTCTCTGAGACTTCGCGGAAGCTCTGAGGCTTGCAGCGAGGTGCAAAGCACCAGGGCACCGCCGCCATGATCGAGTCCAGGCCCTTAAACAGCTTAAAGGCGTGACTCCTTTGTGTGCTCGAATTGAGAAAGGCAAGGCGCTCCCTTAAGCGCCCGTCCTCGAATCAAGGTCCAAGCTGGAGTTTGCGGTGCAGACGCACACGAAGGACCTGGCTGCAGCGGTCGCCTGGGGCCCGGCCCGGATTCAGTTGCCTTCAGCAAGTGCATCCATGCGCGTTCACGTTGCAGCCCAGGAAGCCCTGGACCTCTGCCTGGAGCGAAACCAAGGCGAGCCGGCTCGCGGCTACGGCTCTGGGGCTGATCAGAGGAAGCATAAAAGCCTCGCCCAAAAGCGAGAGCTGAGAGAGCTGAGAGAGTCTGAGAGAAGCAGAGCGGAGAATAGCGGAGAGCGGGTGTGAGCGGCTGTGGCTCGTGTTGCATCACATCGTCACTGAGTCGGAGGCCTCGATTTGCTGGGGGTGGCGATGCTCGAGTCTATCGAGGCGACGCGACATCCAGACGCCCGAGCTCTCTTGCTTTCTGTCTCTTTCTCCCATTCTTTCCTGCAGTTCCCTCCTCGCTCCCCCTCGCTCCCTTCCCGACTCGTCCCTTCCCCAACTCAGGGCATCAAGGCCGCAGCGCTCCACGCCGACGCGCGGCAGGAGCGCCCGCTGCAGGGTCGCAGGGTCGCAGAGCTGAGAGAAGTTCCATTGCAAGAGGAGCTCGCGAAGATGCTGGAGAAGGCAGCAGAGGAGAGCTGTTTCTGCTTTCTGCCTCGCATTGGTTCCGCACCCCCATGGCCTACAGGAGCTGGGCTCCGGCGTGGTGTCTGAAGCTCAGCAGTGACTCGACGTCGGACCGGTTTTCCAAGTCTTCTGAGGTCGCGGCGAGGGGCGGATCTCATCGCTCTGCTGGGTGACTGTGGAATCCAGGAAAGCCCCAAGCCCAAGCGCCCAAGCCAAGCCCGGCTTAGCACCTGTGCCTGAGCTGTGCCTGTGTGGTCCCTCCCGGGTCCGGAGGAGCCCAAGCTCGAGAGCGCCATCAAGGCTGCGGCAGCCTCGGATTGCGGAGACCACTCCTCTGACAGAAGCCCTGCAGCTCTCTTTCCGAAGCCCTGCAGGCTTGGGTCGCCGTGAGCTCCTCAGCTCGGAGAGCAGCATAGACTTAGAGCGCCAGCTGCACGAAAGTGCTTGTGTTTCTGCTATGAGCCGTTCAGATCCTTTTCGGGTGCGATTCAGCGCGGAACCGTGACGCCTGGGAAAGCGTGTGACACGGCGGTTTCCATTCCCGGCAGTCGTACTACTATGCGCGACTGCGACGACTGCCCAAGGGCGTGCAAGACTAGCCCCGGCAGCAAGAAGACGACGTGACGATCCTTCTTCGATGCCCGAAGGCGTTGCGAATGGTTTTGCAGCGCATTGCTTGCATGCTCTGATGTGCTCTGATGAATTGATGCGGAATTATGATGCGATGTTCCTTTCCTCAAAGTTGATCGAGTCTACGGCCGGAGGCAGGACCCGCAGGACCAGCAGGGAAGCGCTCATGAACCCCGTAAGCTTGCCTTAGCGCAGATCTGGCCTTTCGTTCGTGTGATTTGTCAGCGACTCGTGTGCACGTACACCTTGTGCTCAGAGTCTCGCCAACTTTGTTTCACACTTGCAGCTTGACTGCTCAAGACGCACAGGTCCGTCTACGCTGGGGTAGTGTAGGTGTTGCCTGTTCTGTGAGAGTTAAGTGGATTCCTCTGCTTTTCACAGGTTATGAGCCGTGGGACCTCTGCATCCGATTGTGGATTGCTGCTCTGCTGCTGCCGCTTAGGCACTCGGAACGCCTGATCCAACAAGCGTTCGATCATTACCGTTTTCTTGGCTCAGACCAGGTTCGGCACCTGTGGTTGGCCGCGCCGCCGAGAGAATGGCGACTCCGATCGGTTCCCCTCGTGTCCCCTCGACTATCGGTTTTTCACTGGTGACGGCAGTCGCACAGGATGTCGTGGAGCCCGATGATAGTGCCCACGCAGCCCGCTGCGCCGCGCACGCTTCGCTCGCTCGCTCTGCTTCGCTGCTGGCTTCGCCTGATGAGGACGATCAGAGAGCTCAAAATCATGTGCCGCTTTTGCCATGCTCTGCTGCTTTCGCAACGCCTGGCACGATCAACGCCGGCATGCTTCCTGCTACTGCCGATGCTCGTGCTTTGCCTGCGCTGCCTGCTTTTTCTGCGTCTGCTTCTGCTCCGTCGCACCCTCCTTTCACGACCGGTTCTCTTCCTTGTCCTCTGTCATCTCCATGAGGTACGTCCTGAGAGTGCAACGCCCGATCTCCATGAGGTACGTCCTGCGAGTGCAACGCCCGATCTCCATGAGGTACTCCTTGAGAGTGCGACGCCCGATCTCCATGGGTCCATGAGGTGCTCCTTGCGAGTGCAACGCCCGATCTCCATGAGGTACTCCTTGCGAGTGCGAAGCCCGATCTCCATGAGGTACTCCCTGAGAGTGCAAAGCCCGATCTCCATGAGGTACTCCTTGCGAGTGCAAAGCCCGATCTCCATGAAGTACTCCTTGCGGGCGCAACGCCCGATCTCCATGAGATCTCCATGAGGTACTCCTTGCGCAAAGCCCGATCTCCATGAGGTACTCCCTGAGAGTGCAAAGCCCGCTGCATCTGTTCTGCGCTGGACAGATTTGAAGATGCCAACCGTCTTTCGGGCCTGTTCGATCTCGGTAGTTCCTCCGGAGGTGAGAAACTCAAAGCCTGCACTAGATTCCTTCGTGCCCTCGGAGACATCTGCTGGATGCGCTGCGGCGTATGCTGTGCTTGCTGTTGAGGATACATGAGTTGTTGCATAGGTGCTGGCTGGTGATGCTGAGGCTGAGGGCTGTTAAGGTTTGCTGGAGTGAGGGGGTTTCTTGGTTTCCCGTAATATCCAAACCCTCTAACACCCTTTCCTGCAAACCCGCTCCCGTAGCCGTCGTCCTCAAGAAATCAGTCAGACGCGCTACCCAGCGAACAACTCGGCCTTGATCTCCAGCAGCGCCGTACATAACTTCTACATCCCACGTCCTCGTAGCTTCGCGCGCCGAATCCGGTTCCGGGGGACTTCTTCCCGGTGCTCCGTTGGTGCCAGCCTCTGTCGCCGGCCGTTCAGTCGACTCTGGTGATAAAAACGGCCTGTCCACTGTCCCTGCGTCCACATCCGCCAATGCCTCCACATGGGTCCTTTGTCCCACATACAGCTCGGCACTCAGTCCCGCAGGGGCAGCTTCCGTAGCCGTTTGCTCTTGTCTTGCTTCCCTTCGAAGCCCTAAAGGGGCTGGGGGCACTCCGTTCGGCAGCTCTTCCCTCTCACGGTGAAGCCCTTGGCCCATAGCATCCCATAGCTCCATAAGCCGGACCCATAGCGTCTCCCTCCAGAACTGGTAGTCGCGCATCTCGAGTTTGGGAACTCATAACCTGTGAAAGTCTTGAAGGGCTTGAGGAGTTCGAACGGGTTCGTCTTCGGTACAATGTAGCTGTCGAAAGGCTTATAAGGTGCCTCAAACCAGCTCTCGACCATCAACCCTCGCAACTCCTATCGAATTTTTCCATGCTCGAATTACACTGCATACTGTGCCAATGATGGCTGTGCTTCTGCCGATCATGGCTGTGCTTTTGCCGATCATGGCTGTGCTTCTGCCAATCATGGCTGTGTCCGCTTCAGCACGCGAACATTCAAACATCAGCAACGACCGAAAAACAGCTCCACTGTCTTATCTTTATACTAGGTCGCTCAGAACTCGAGGATTGCATGCAGAGGTTTCTTCAGATTTCCAAGCTATCTGCTCATATGTTTGGGAGACGCTTCCGGAACACGGACTCAATTATCTTCGTTGGCTTTGCATCGAAAGCCTTAAACCCCCGAACAAACCCGTCATAACCCGTTTCCTCGCGTTAAACTTGCAACCATCGGAGCATGAGGCTCCGTGTGGCTTGGTTTCACAGCTCGTTTCGCTTGGTGGCTTGGTTTTGCTGACTTTGTATCCACGAGGCCTACGACGGAGAGTGAGGAACGGCATGCCCCAGCTTGCACGGGCGAGCAGCGCGAGCAGGGCTTTTTGTCGGAGTCGGAGAGTTAAAATAGTGGATTTAAGTGCTGGGCCCGCGGGACCCTGGTCTCCGGGGCACAGAACCGGGCTCCTCAATTCGAGGTTCCATCGCGTTTCAATATTTTGAGAAGGCTGCGCTTAGCTCAGCCGTGAGGCGGCCTTAACGCAGCCTCCCACGTGGCGTTTCACCCTCGGTGATGAGCCGAAAGATGCTCAAGGACCGATGAGTCTTCGGAGAAAAAGCAGAAGGAGCGGAAGGGAACGGGGAGCATTGGAACTTTTTGCATTGCGTCGAGAGGCCGGTCGAAGTGGAGAGTTGAAGCCGATGCTCATCAAGGCTCAGGGGCGGCCCCGGCACAGCAGGGCCGCAGAGCTCTTGTGGCCGGTGGCAGGACATGACCGAGGCCAGCGACGAGGAGGCCAGCGGGCCAGCGGGAGTGGGCCGAGCACTCCGCTCTGCGATGTGTTCGGTCGGAGGTGACGCTGATTCCGTCGCCGGGTACAGGAAAACCGGGGAGCTTGACGCCCGCCCGAGCCTTCAACTTGATGTTCGAGACCCAAGTGGGCCCTTATGCCGACGCCGCCTCCAAAAGCCGGCGCCCAAGCATAGCAGAGGAGAAGAGAGGAGGAGAGAGGGAGAGCGGAGGACTGAAGCAGAGCAATCCCGACGCCCAACTCGTGTGTTCAGGCGGTTGAGACATCACTTAGTATAATCGGAAATGATTAGCAGAGGCAGAACCCGGGGCTGTATACATTCCTGTGGATACAAAGCGGGGGAGTCTGAATGATGGGCTTGCCGCCTTGCCGGCGCGGCGAACGCTGTCAGAAAGCAGGGCCAAAGAACATTCTGTATTCTGCATGAGTCTCTATTCCTTCTATGTATGTTTTGCATCAGCTTTGCAAAGCATCGGAATCCGTTTAGTCCCCGACCTCCCTGAAAACCTGACGTCCTGAGGAATCCCTAGGCAATGGGCAGAAATCTATGAATGGGAGGGGTTGGCCTGGTGGTTGTTGTGCCGCTGGGCAGTACTTCGCTCTTGAGGCTACTTGAGGCCAGAGACGGCGCAGGTGGGTGCGAAGGGGGTGCCACCGGGCGGAAGTGTTCCTGCAGATCAGAGTTCGGAGAGAGAGGAGTGGAGTTTCCTGTTTCCGGAGCCTCAGGGCATTTTCGTGAACTACAAGCAGGCGCAGAGGGCAGAGGGAGACGGAGAGACACACGGGGACGCCCGGGCGTAAAACCAGCCTTCTCGGAGGTGACCTACGTGATGCGCCAGAAAGTTCCCTTCGGCATCGCGCAGATCGGCAAGGCTTTCCGCAACGAGATCACTCCGAGGCAGCGAGGGGCAGCGCGCGCTTGCGCTGGGAGGGGGCCGCCTTGTGCTGAGGCAGTTCCTCTTCCGGTCCCGCGAGTTCGAGCAGATGGAGATCGAGTACTTCATCGATCCCGAGGAGCCCCGGAGTCCCCCCCCCCCCGACTGGAGATGTCTCTGTGACGCCTTTGCAGACTCAGGCGGACTTCCAGCAGATCCAGGAAGAATGGATCCAGGAGATGTGGAACTTCCTGAAGGACAAGCAAGGGCAGCAAGAGCAATGGCTCTAAAACTGTGAGAGAGGGCCTATCCGTCGCGGTCTCTCTCTCTCTCTCTCAGGCGGTGGGCCTCAAGGAGTCCCTGATGGACCGGGAGGCGGCTGCGGGACGTATGCGGACATGCTCGTAGCGTAGCTACCGCGCCGCGCTTTGACGGCGCCCCAGAGGTGCACGAGGGGGCGAAGCTGGCGCACTACGCGAGGGCCTGCACGGACATCGTCTTCCGGTGCCGATCTCAGCTCAAATCGCTGTCAGCGTGCAGTGCTTGAGCTGCATCGACTCGCTTGCGGCACTGGCGACATTGGGAGCCTTCAGTGTGCCTTCAGTGCCTTCCTGAATCCTGGCAGAGCACGAGACGATGCATCTCAGAAACACCACGACCTCGTTCAACCCCCAAGCTTGGTGAAGTTACGCAGATTACCATTGTCCGCCGCAAAAAAAGAATCGCTACAGCACCATTAGAGCCTTAGAGCATTAATGCCGTGCCTTTGACGAAGGCAGGGTGAGCGTGCTCGCTCAAGGTATCCATTCGGCACCCAAGAGCTCTTGGGCGTTGCGGCTCGCGGCGAGTGCCCCAATTGTGCCTCTGTTTGCATCGCTGGGCCACTCCGTCGTTTAGCCGATTGGGGCGATTGGCTGATTCATTAGCCCTCTCCCTCATGTGAGCTCTGCAAGCATGGAGCAACATGAAGGTTGGTAGAGAGCGGAGGGAGGCCCTCACCAGCAAAGTAGCTGAAGGGCAAAGAGCAAACCAGGCTGAGCAAAGCCTTCAGGAGTGCAGTGAAGGCAATGGGTCTTGGCTTTTGGGTCAAAGGCCATCTTCCTCTCGCATCTTCGCGTTGCAGGTACGACCTGCAGCAGCATGCGGAGGCCAGCGGCCAGGCCATGGAGTACCAGGCAGGAGGGAGGAGGGGCTGGGGGCGGCGTCAGCTGCGAGCTTCGCAGGCGTGGGAGTGGTCTGAGTCTCGTGTGCTTGTCGTTCTGCCGCCTCGGCTCACAGACGCGGAGAAGGGGTGAAAGGTGGGGGAGGACGGGGGTGGGGGCACTCTTGGGCGCGCGGACGGGTCTGGCGGAGATGGCGAAGCCCTGGCCTCAGAAGAACGCCACGGCGCCGCACGCCGCCGCAGCCGCCGCACACCGCCGCAGGCCTGCCGCTCTCTGCGGTGTCTCCGTCTCAGGCCCATCGTGATCAGCCTCAAGCGGCGCCTCGGGGAGTCGGCAGAAGGCGATGGTGGCGAGGGGCCGAGGGGCCGAGGGGCCGGGAGGGGGGCGGCGGCGGCAGGCTCTCTCTCCTCCCTCCTCTCTCTCTCCGCTTCTTTCTCTCTTCTTCTCTCTCTCGGCTTCTTTCTCTCTCTTTGTTGCGTCTGCTCCGAGGCGAGGACGCCGGCACGGAGGGCGGGAGCCCAGCAAAGCAGCCGAGGCGGCGCCCGGCGGGCGGTGTGGGCCAGGCGGAGCTGCGCAGGGCCTCCCTGACGCTCTGCCGAAGCTTCTGGGAGCGGGTGGAGCGCTTCAAGGCCGAAGACAGATGGCGAGCAAAAATGATTCTGAGAAGGGAGAGGAATCTGCCTACAGGACCAGCTGGAGACTTGGCTGGAGGCTATTTGCGTGTAGAGCTTCAGTCAAAGCGCAGTGACGTAGCCACGGCGTTGCAACACCGCGCCTCGGCAGGCGGAGCTGGAGCAGCTTGCACCGGAAGCGCTGTTCGAAGATCGCGAGGAGGCGCCTGGGTGGCGATGCGGATTGCGGAGCGATGTGGTAGACGGTGCGGTGGTCCTCCGGTTTGGTCGCAGGTGGCAGCGGAGGTTTTCCAAGTGCTCGAACTGGAAGGCTTCCGCCCAAGCGCAAGCACCGAGCGCCCTTTCACATTTGTGAGAGGCCAAGGCGACGCCAGGCCAGGGCTATACCTGAAACTGCGCACGGCGCACGCGTCACTGCAACTTCCGCTGTGACTGTGTTGCCTGTTGCCAGCTTGCTTGCGGCGGTTCGAAGGCTGAAGCAGCAGGCTGCGGCAGTCAGAAGTTTCAAAGTGAAGAGATGCGAGATGAGTCCTGCGCTGTGGAGGTGGAAGCGGACACCAAGGCGCGCGGGCGCGCGCGCATCGCCGCATCGCGGTTCTTCCGCTTTCCGCAACTCCGCTTCCGCTGAGAACCGCGCTCCGCTGTGAAAAGCTGCGGCGTCTCCGCGTCTCCCCCTCTCCCTCTCTCCCGAGCCCGAGGCCTTCTCCGAGCTCTCCGCCGGCGCCCCAACGGTGAGCGGAGCGGTGCCACGCGACCTCGCCACGCGCGGAGTGCTCTGCTCCGAGGCCTTTCTCAAAGCCTTCGCGGCCAGCCGGCAGCTGAAGCTCCCGCAGAAGGAGGCCCCCCGGCGGGCCGGCCCGCTCTCCGCTCTCCGCTCTTGGCTGCTTCGGTCCCTGCGCCTTCCTCCCGTCGCTTCGCTTTGCCGCTTTGCCGCTTTACCGCTTGTTCCTCTCCCGCAGGTGCCGGCGCAGCTCGAGAGCCTCCTGGCAGCCCTCGAGGCCTGGCCGGTTAACCGGGCTCTGCCGCGCTTTGCCGCGCCTGCAGGGCATCCCCCTGCCCTGTGCAGCACTGCAGGAGCAGAGCGATGCCAGCGGCGGCGCATGAAGCGAGCGGAGCCGAGCGGAAAGACGTGAAAAGACAACTTTCCAGAAGCAGCAAGCAGCCGCAAGCAGCCGCAAGCTCTTTGGATACGGTGGCCGTGGCCCACCGTTGTTGCGAGCACGGGCAGGTGCCTGGTGAGAAGCGGAAGTTCGTGCCGCATGTCATCGAGCCGTCCTTGGGTGGGCCCGGGGTGTTTTCGCCGTGCAGCGGCCCGCGGCGCCTTCTTGATCGCTCAACTGCCAGGAGTCGACCGGCTCTTCTTGGCACTGCTGTGCAGCGCCTACGACGAGGATGTCGTGGATAAAGAATCGCGATCGCTGCTCAGGCTATGAGCTGATAGAGAGAAGAAGTGATTGGGACGGGTTTAGCGCAGTGGAGTGGACCAGTGGCGCAGGTTCCATCCCTGTGTTGCGCCCATCACCTGCGCGGTCTTCCCGCTCATGAAGAAGCCCCCCGCGCTGGCCGAGAAGGAAGGGCGAAGGGCGAGCGAAGTTCTGCTGAGTTCGGGTGCCGCTGTGGGCGGAAGTTTTTAGGGGCAGGCGAGGGCTTTGGCAGCACGGCTCCGGCAACGTGGCTGGAATGTGGTCTACGACGAGGCGCGAGAAAGAGAGAGAGAGAGAGAGAGAGAGAGAGCGAGCACCGCGACAGCACAGTGCGAGACAGCAGAGCAGTGCGAGTTGTAAGCAGAGTATCGCGAATCGCGGAACGGACGCCGGTCTAAATCCGAGCAGCAACGCCGCGAGCGCCCGCCCGAAAGCGCGGCGGCTGGGAGGGCGGGGGCAGCTTTTGAGGCTGGGAGCATTGGAAAGCGCTACCGGCGCATGGACGAGGCAGGGCGGGAGGGCACGGCGCGGCGGCACGTGCCACGTGCCATGCCGTGGCCACGTGGCCACGCCGTGGCCATGGCCATGAGGTTGGGACGCCCTTCTGCTGCACCGTGGACTTCGACACCTTGGAGGACGACACGGTGACCGTGCGGCGCCGGGACGACCCCCTCGAGGCCGACAGTTAAAGCAGCTAAGCAGCTAAGCACGCTCTGTGCTCTGAAGAAGAGACTGCGTACATCGCAATGCTTTGAGTTCGCAGACTCGTACTCGTACACCAGCACAGGCTCCCTCCCTGCGCTCGCACACCACTGTAGAAAGCTTTCATTTTTCCCCTTCTGTCGCTGCAGTGGCTTAATGAACGACCTGGCTTTCGGCAGGGCATGGTCCACATCCCCACACCTCACTTAGTCGGAAGCTCGAGAAAACCGTCGACGTGCACACTCTTCGCAGAGGTTACCCGGATGCCTTGCGACTCCATCGCGATGTTTCTGGACGACGAGTGCTCCTCGGCTCGGCTAGGCTGCGGCTAAGAAAAGTAACCGCAGCTGCAGTTACGATTTCGTCAGGCCAGCTGCCGATGTGAGCTGCTGGTGCGGGGGAAGCATGTGTTGAAAAGGCTCCGTGCACGCCAAGCGAGATTCCTGAAGCCGGAAGTTGTGTTTGTGTGTTTGAGACTGAGATGCTTGCACACATCAGGGCTCAACAGGGAGGGCTGTCGGCGGATAGAGCAGGAGCCTTTTCTAGAGAGATGGCAGTCCATCCACGCCCGGCGCTCGGCGGCGCTCGGCGGGGTAGCGCTAAGAGCCGCGAGCGGCTTAGCGGGACCCGGGGGATCCGGGAGAGAAGTCCTTGCAGGTCAGCTACGAGCAGTCAGGCGGGCTTCGGCTTCGGGTTTTTTGGGGGGCTCTGGGGCTCCCGGAAACGGCTCTGCAGGTTCGCCGTGGCCCTCGCGGCCTTGGCTGCCGTGCAGCAGGGAGCCCCAGTCACCATCCCAGGCCCCAGGTCCCCTCAGTCCCCTCAGTCCCCTCCGCCACGCGCTCCTCTTGGCGTCTTCGTCTCGGAGGTTTCTTCGGAACTTTGGTCGCTCAGCTCTCTTCAGGGCAACCTTGGAAATTTCAGGTTTCGGATGAACTATCGTTGCGGATCATTGTGAGGATCAGGAAGCCATATGCCGAATCTAATTCACGCCTTGACCGGTCGAGATGTCGGCAGCGCCGCGTTGTGGCACTGTAGGATGATCTGTCCTGGTGTTTTTTTTTCGGTGTCAGGCACCACGCTCGCAGCAGAGTCATGCAGAGTTTTTTTTCGGTGTCAGGCACCACGCTCGCAGCAGAGTCATGCAGAGTCTGTAGTCAAAGGACGGATGTTTTTTTCTCCTGTCCGGTGCCGAGGTCCTTTGTGGGTGTCCTGAGCCCACGAAGATCTCTGACGACAGGCGTCGTCCGTCGAGGAGAAGGTGCCGCTGCAGTGCTGCAGCCCTGTTTTGATCTCTTCGACAGCCCCGTGCAGTCTCGAAGACTCAAAGGTTTCGACGCTGCCACCGCAACACCCAAGGCAAGGGTGCGGAGAGTCAGGCTAAGGCGGCTGAGGCGGCTAAGGCTTCACTTGATCGCTGTGATCGCGTCTTGGTGAACAGGTGAAGTCGACCATCAGCCGGGAGCAGTTGGAGCGGGACTCCAAAGCGAGGGAGGGTCCTTCATCGCTCCGCCCGTCAGCCCACCCCAAAGGGTCGCCTCCGCCGAACACAGATCGGAGTCATGAACTTTTGTCAAGGTTTGTTCGCTCTCGAGCCAAGGGTTGCGTCACGACAGCCGTTTTAGGTGTCGCAGGTGTGTCTGGTCTCACCAGTGTGTGCAAGACGCTTATAAACGTCGAACATCTTAGCACTGCAGGAAGCTCTACGACTCTACGCAGTATTGTTGTGTTTGTGCAGGTGTAACGGTGTAACTGAATCCGTCTGTGCATGGACCGTGGCATAGTGCTCTGTCAAGGGAAAAGTAGAGTGCACTCCACTTGCATAACTCCCTCACAACACTGAACGGTTATTGCGAGCTGCGCCGATATACAAGTGTATTCTCTTATCCTAGCTTCATCACGCGCACGCACGCACGCACGCACGCACGCACGCACGCACGCACGCACGCACGCACGCACGCACGCACGCACCCACGCACCCACCCACGCACGCACGCACGCACGCACGCACGCACGCACGCACGCACGCACGCACGCACGCACGCACGCACGCACGCACGCACGCACGCACGCACGCACGCACGCACGCACGCACGCACGCACGCACGCACGCACGCACGCACGCACGCACGCACACACCCACACACACACACACCACTCACACACACACACACACACACACACACACACACACACACACACACACACACACACACACACACACACACACACACACACACACACACACACACACACACACACACACACACACACACACACACACACACACACACACACACACACACACACACACACACACACACACACACACACACACACACACACACACACACACACACACACACACACACACACACACACACACACACACACACACACACACACACACACACACACACACACACACACACACACATGGAAATCCGGTCTCTGCCGGTTGTCTTGTAGTCCTGTCCCTTCTTCTTGTCGTTATCTCTTGTCTGCATCTCTTAACAAATTGCTTTTCATCTAGATTATCTTGAGTTCGAATACCAAGGCCTCAGAGCTTCTCTTGGGTTCAGATTCATCTCAAAAGTGTGCATACATTAGATGAGCGATACAATTGACCCCCATATTGTTGATGAGCGGTGTTGAGTGAACAGTCTCACGTCAAGACTGTGGGAGCAAGATCGTAGGCAGGGACACTGCTGTTCGTAAATTCTCCTGTATTCTCGGCGATATCATCGCTCAAGCATGCAGCCAAGGCGTATAGCACGCCATGGCTAAAGGGCTTTCCTTCCGTGAGTGGGGGGGTTATCATGCAGAGCCTCAGCCGCAAGCGGCGTTATAGGTCTGCTGCAAGCAGGCAAAATTCGCACATCCGGCGAACTTCTTGGTTAGCATGGAGAGGGCAACAATATTCGTGCATGCCTGAAGATCGGATTTGGATGCTATTCCGTTTTGCCATACTTGCACAATCTTGCACTGGACGTTTCGGGCAGTTTCTGTCGGACAAATGCACTAGAAAAGTGCCTCCCGTGGGTCGGCAACGAGACATTTTTCCCTTGCCTCAGATACATGACGTTTGTTTCAAGCCAGCCAACTGGACAGTTCAGCGGTGGGGCTTGTTGCGTAAGTTTGCAAACTCGGTGGTCGGTACTTTAAACTGGTGCTACGGAGTACAGCTTGAGCAATCTCCTCCTTTGCGAGCTACAGTTGCACAGACAGACGTTTTGTCTCGCATAGTTGATGGTTGTTTGGATATGCATTCCCGACTACAGCAAGCAGAAGATGGTGCTTGGGAAGGGTTTGTTCCTGACTGGATAAAGATGCCAGAGCGCCCGTCAGGGCCCAAATATGGAGGCTTGCAAGCTGAAGCAGTGGACGTTCTGGAAGTTGCTGGTCAGTGCGACCCACTCCCTTGTCTAGACGAGCACGTACGGGACGTGATCTGCAACGACAGGCTCATGTTCTCTGCAGCGCCATCTGGGATGAGTTCTTTCGAGAGCATTTCTGATGACGAGCGACGTGAGTACGTAAAGCTGGTTGCCAGGCAGTTGTGCTCAAAACAGTTGGCACTTGCATCTCGCGCCAAAGGAGGTGGAACCGTCATTGCTGTTAGCAAGCCAGGGGGTAAGCGGCAACGCGCGGTCTGGCACGGGAAGAGGGTTTCAGCGGCAGCAACGCGACCTCCCAAGCCAAGACACTTAGCTTCCCCCACAGCGTTAAACTTGATGGAGTGTTTGCCAGGTCAGAAGATACGTTGCAGTAAAAGGGATGCCAGCTGTTGGTTTGACCAGCTTCGACTGCCCTCAGCGCTGCAACGGTGGATGGGCCGACCTTCGGTCACAGCCTGCGAACTGTGCGTGGTGGGCGGCTTGACGCCTGAGCAAGTTCAGAGCTTCGTACTTCCGGGAGACCAAGCAGATAGTGAGTCTTTCTTCCCTGTCAGCCTTACATGGCCGATGGGCTTCGCGTGGAGCTCGTTTGTTGCACAAGAGTTCTTGTTGGATACATGCTCTGCGGCTGGATTGAAGGAGCACCAGATCTTGTCCTGCGATGCGCCAACCCCGATAGTGCAGGATGTGGTGTTCGCTGCTGCCACAGATGACGTTATGATTTTCAGCGCATCAGGAGCTGGTCACTCTTCGGCGGCTGCGAGGCAGCTTGACGCCGTGTTCGATCAACGAGGCATTGTTCGAAACAGGCGCAAGGATGTTGACGACAGCTTGTCGGCTACTTGTGTGGGGGTGGCCTTGGAAGACGGAACCCATCTTGCAGTCCCGCCGGCCAGGTGTCTGGCAATGTTGTTTTCCTTGAGCTACCTGCTTTGCCACGAGAAAGCTTCGCCGAAGCAGGTTCACCAACTCCTGGGCGTTCAGCAGTGGTACGATTTGCTCTGCCGCTGCAAATTGGCTGTCTATGACAAGGTGTACGAGTTTGTGAGGGATGAGGCCGATACTGGTATCAGAACAGTTCCCAACCTGGTGCTCTTCGAGCTGTGTGCCGCCCTGTTCTTAGGAATTTTCTGGCGCCAGGACTTGCAAAGGCCGTTCCTTCCGCTTCTGTCTGCGACTGACGCAAGCACGGAGTATGGCTTTGGAGCAAGCATTGCTCGGTTGCCAGTATCCATGATACGCAGGCTTGCCCGCGTCGCTGAGAAGCAGGGTGCATATGTGGTGATGGATGGAGGGTTCTCAACAGAGGATGCAGCAAAGCGGTTGGGTCAGCTTCACAAGTTGGACATCAGCTTAGACGACTTCACTGATATCTTCTCCATCAAGAGCAAACATGGAGCCCACATCAATGTGCTCGAGGGAGAGGCGTTCATCATCTGGCTACGCTGGATACTGAGGTCGCGCAAGCGGCACTGCACGCGTGTTGTTGTGTTGGTCGACAGCGCTGTGTGGCTAGGTGCAGCTGCCAAAGGCAGATCGTCTACTCAGCTCAACCGCTTGCTTCGCAGAGCTGCTGCTTTGGAGTTGGCTGGGGGTATTCAAGTCCATCTCATTTTGGTCCCTTCTGCTGAAAACCCCTCCGACCGTCCTTCCCGTGGTGTTCGCCTTCAGCCCTCGAAGTTCTCGCAGGGTTACTGCACGGTACCTTGCAGCTCACGGCAATGACTCATGGCTTTGTGATGTGGAGCCCACCTGCCTTGCGTTATAGCATCTGGCATGATGTGCATGGGTTTCATCTTCGCAGTGCTTTGAGTGGCCCTGGAATTCTTGTTTTTTACTTGCGACGATGCAGTTTTGTTTTTGTTATGGCAGCATCACACGTCCATCTGCGTCTTCCGGGCGTGAGCTGATGGCGCAGCAGTGGGTACCTTGGCGCTTGTAACGTAAGGTGCACGCCAAGTGGTGTGGAATGCGTGGAACGCTGAGCAGC